TTCGCCTTTGCCGTAAGAGAATGCTGCCTAAAGAGAGAATTTTAGCGTTTATTCAATTATTTTACTATATTTCTTTTTTATTCTTTTACATGATATTATATTTATATTATATTATATTATTATATTATATTACACTATATNCGAGTACCAAAGGTGAATATAATGTAATGTATTATATATATATATGACGTATACAACATACAATATCTTGTTTCTGATGAAACACGTTGTTTTTTGCTCTCTAAAAATAATGGAATCGATCGAAAGATTTTCGCCCAAGGCTCTTTTGTGGTTTCAAGATGTTTCTTGTTTAGGATACTTGGGTTTCTTTTCTACTTTCTTCCCTAAACATTTCCATTCCTCTTTTACCTTAGACCCTTGAGGATATATATAGGAAATAATCATGCGGCTACCAACAAAAGTATTTTTGTAACTTGAAATTCCTGGAAAAGATGAAACTTTTGAATAGAATTAAAGTTTTTTTTTATTTTAAACAAAAATTATTGGAAAAAGTTGAACAACGTTATCGATATTCAAAAAACGAGAAATATTTTCCATTTAAAACATTAATTTCTTAAGAAGCTTCCTTTTTCTTAATCAGTTTCTCATGTATTATTTTAAAGCTGATATAAATAATACTAAAAAAGTGGACTTGTTTTATCTAAGTTTTAGTACATTTGATCCATTTTTTAAGTAGAAAAGAAACCTGGAAAACGCAATAAAAATGCAATCATGGACTCAAATCATGTTGTGTATATGTGCTTTAGTTTCATTATAGTTTCTTTCTTTCTTATTTAATTTAAAGGGAAACAAATAAAGTTGTAGCACACGTTCTTACTATAAGTTTTATTTAAAATACACTGAGGGGGTTTCATTTTTATAAACACTAAACACTTTTTGTCCAATAAGCTGCTAGGTCAGAGTGTTGGTCTTAAATACTTGTGTAGTGCTGATTTCCTTTAGAAGAGCTGTTCACTATTTTTACTCGCATGTGATATTTAAAACTATTTCATATATTTGTCGGAATATGTTCAGAAAAAAATATATCAATACAATGCGTAAAATATTCGAGTACCAAAGGTGAATACATAAAAATAATTTAATTCACATTCATAAGAAAAAAAGCTTTGAAAATTATTATAATTTCTGATTAACTCACTCAGAACCCTTTTTGTGAGCTCAGTAGTTTGAATCAGACATGTGGCAGATCAATCATTACTGGCAGTACGCAAAATGTACAGTAAGCAAAGTAAAAACCCTAAATAATGTTGTCAATAATTGCGTTTAGCATGATTTCTGTGAGCATATGTTTTCTATCATCTTTGAGTTTTGAAAACTAATTTAAGTTCTTCTTATTAATCATAAATTCTAATGGAATATATCTTCAATGCGGAATATATTAGAAATTGAATATGATATTAAAAAGCAGATATTACTTTAGTGTAAGAGTCTGTGATCAGCGAATATGCCTTAGGTATTTTGCCTTATTATATGCATTTTATTTTATTACATAATTTAATTTATTATATCATGTATTATACCGATGTATTTTATTTTATTATATTTAAAGAAAACTATTTTACGAAATTTTTATTAAGTTTGCGGATGGAATATTCAGAGTTATTTATTGTGGTTTGATGTGATAGATGAATGTGAAGGATTCAATATATGGGCAGCATAAAATTAGAAATAAAGGATACCCCATAAAACATAACGGAAACTGTTCCTAAACTTTCAAGGGAGTATCAAATAAGTCTCAAATAAGTAGTTTCAAATAAGTCTGGGTGAATTAGTTCTAAAAGTAAAAAAATAAAAGATTTGTGCTATATGATCCAAAAAAAAAGCAAGCACATTCTTTCTTATTTTCTATTCATTGTAAATATAATACGGGGGCAGCATGAAATTATCAAAAACCAAAAAAAATTGGATTGTATCAAATAACATTGAATGTGTGATAAAAATAGTTCTAATAAATAAAACACATGCTGAATATTTTCCCGATTTATTAGGTTACAAGTATTTGGAAACTAAGTTTCATTACTAAAATTACATCGGTATCGGTCATTTCAAATAATGTTAACAATCGCGGTTTAATTTTTCGCACTAAAACTTTAATTTTGGTAAAAGTAATCTTTAAATATCCGATATTTGGAACCCGAAAGAAGTAATGCTCCCATTATTTCCGGTTATTAATTTACGTCCCGTTACAGTCGAAGGAAATCTAAGAAAACCGTGATTTGTTTTCGTCTTATTTGTCACACTCTCCCACTACACACTTCAGTAGTCAGCACAGAAATTATCTGGGTGTAATTACTTTCTTCTACATCAGTTCACAATCTTGCACCGGATCTTAACGAGATTGGAGTTCAGGAAGTTGGAATTTGTTGAATGCTTTAGTTGCTGCTTACCAGTCCACGGTTCGATCTGCACTCGCGAATCAATGCTTCCGTAGCTTAGGGAGTCGAAATAGAAACGATTTCTAGTACTCGATGAAAACCACTAGCTAGAGCTTATGTGGCTTTCGTCCATGCAATTAATATTGTTAAAGACACGTGAGTTTATTTGAGATGCGTTATATGCCCAACAAATTAAGGTAGGAGTGAATATATCTTTCATTGGAAAGCTAAGTGCTTTCTTTTACGTCAGCTATTTAGCTTCATTTTTCTAGCAATAAAGCTTTTAACTTTAGATTTGATTTAATGCTGTGGGATTTACGTAATTAATAAAATATACTTTTAAATAAAATAGACTAAAACGGTTTTCCAATTAAACGACACGTTTAACTACATTGTTTTATAATAACGTTTGTTTGTATCTTTGATTGCAAAACCGGTCCTCTCCTCTATTTTTTTTCTTTTTAAGTTCTGGATATTCTATCAAATGAATGGAGAAAACTGATCAAATCCCACGTTTTAAATGCGTTTGAAAATCTCCGTTTATTTTACAGTTAAAATTGTCAAGTTCGACCAAATCTTGCTTACGCTGAGTTTCAAAATCAGGCATCTCCTTGTTCGCCAAATGTCGCTTTTGATCAAATTTTTTTTTATTATTTGTTGCTTGGTGTTACTGTGTCTTGGTCTATGACTCTACTCATAAAGTTTCTAATTGAATTTTTTCTTTTTTTTAAGTAGGGAAAATCTGTGGAGTTATAGTATCTCCTAACAAATCTAAAAAGAAGAAACTTATTGTTACGTGGTGGAAAAAAAGTAAATATATATATATATATATATATATATATATATATATATATATATATATATATATATATATATATATATATATATATATATATATATATATATATATATATATATATATATATATATATATATATATATATATATATATATATATATATATATATATATATATATATATATATATATATATATATATATATATATATATATATATATATATATATATATATATATATATATATATATATATATATATATATATATATATATATATATATATATATATATATATATATATATATATATATATATATATATATATATATATATATATATATATATATATATATATATATATATATATATATATATATATATATATATATATATATATATATATATATATATATATATATATATATATATATATATATATATATATATATATATATATATATATATATATATATATATATATATATATATATATATATATATATATATATATATATATATATATATATATATATATATATATATATATATATATATATATATATATATATATATATATATATATATATATATATATATATATATATATATATATATATATATATATATATATATATATATATATATATATATATATATATATATATATATATATATATATATATATATATATATATATATATATATATATATATATATATATATATATATATATATATATATATATATATATATATATATATATATATATATATATATATATATATATATATATATATATATATATATATATATATATATATATATATATATATATATATATATATATATATATATATATATATATATATATATATATATATATATATATATATATATATATATATATATATATATATATATATATATATATATATATATATATATATATATATATATATATATATATATATATATATATATNCAATTATATATATATATATATATATATTTGAATGACTCTTTCTCAGTTTTGTCAACGGTAATAGAAAACGCGATATTATATTTCATTTGAAAAGTGATTTGATTTGCATTTTAAAGACACATCGGCCATTACCAGATTGTTTTCTGACTTGTGTCACTAGTAATTTAAATTAGTTTACTACCCCTTGAGGCACTCTAATTGTATTTTAAATATGTTTGAAATTATCTCCCGAAATATTTTAATAATAAATAAATCATATTTCTCAGGAGGTAACGTAACACTCGATCAATCACTTGAGGTTATTTACTAGTGCACTACATCAATGCAAATGAATTTAACTAGATATAGAGCTATTTTTAAGTTTTGTCTAGCCAGTGAAAATACCGCGTCTGAAAGTTCTGTCCAATAGCATTATTTGTCTAACACTCAAGTCTATTTAATGTACTTTTCCAGACATAGGTACTGTTAAACAGCTGACGCTTAAAATTATACAGTTAGAGTTTACAGCCTTTTGCATTTTCTTATGGTCATTAACTAAGTCTAACTGTTCAATATGAACGGCTAATTTTAAATCTGCCCTAAAAATCTCAACTCGCTGTTGTATTTATTGAAAAATATAATATATTTAAATTTACTCAAAATTGGTAACATTTATTCAAGTTTGGTAGACTTATACTTTTATTTACTTAATTAGTTTATTACTTTTGCTTAGAAGTGTAATTTAACACGCATAGTTTTTGTCATTTGATGATGTTTGTTAATGTACTATACGTAATGAATGGAAGTTAATGTTCTAAAAATCTGATTTTTATTCTTAACAGGATTTCTCCCAGCCATGGAGACTACTTCAAGAGGTAATTACGGTTTGATGGACCAAATAGCAGCTTTACGTTGGGTTCAAGAAAATATTGCCCATTTTGGAGGAGATCCAAGAAATGTTACTTTATTAGGTCATGGTTTTGGAGCGTCATGTGCTCATTTACTCATGTTTTCACCAAGGGCCAAAGGTACGTTCATTTCAAAATTCACATGTCCAGAACTATATGCGACGACACATTTATCATAAAATAAATTGATTAAGATTTTGTTAAATATCATAGCTTATTTTATCTAAAAAAAGCAGAACATAGGTTACTTTTTTATTGGAGATTTAAATTGGTTGTATATTTCGTACATTGTAACTGTATCGATTATATAAATATTCTACATCTATTTTTTTTTCTTATTGGAATACACATTTACGTCTAACATATCCAAGTGGACATTTCAAACAGAATTTAGCTCCGAAATATTTTTTTTCGAAACAAAAAAACGTGTACAGTTTTAAAAGGCTACTTTTCATGGAAGTCCTGTGAATAACACTGGGGATCATTTTTTTTCATATTTATACAGGCACTTGAGCTTGTCAAATATGGGTAAGGGGACTTCAAATCTGAAACTAGTTTCGCTCGAAAAATGACATTAAAATGACATTTTTATTTTATTTTTTGTCGAAATGGTCAAATTTAAAAACGTTATTTATAAGAAGGATTAGCGCAAATGTTGTAACAAACGTCCAGAGAAGGTTCCCCTAATATGTCCTGATCAGAAACACATGAAGAAACATAATCAGGAAGCACCCCTAGAAGCGTATGAAGACTTTTCCAGGTATGGGTTCACATAAAGTTTTATTTCTGATGATATGTCCTAACTTCCCTAGAAACCTGTTGGAACATGTGTGCGACCCCGTTTGCCAGCAACTTGTATCTGCAGTCAAAAAACGGAGTGAAATGTTATTTAAACAAACTGTAATTTGGAGAAAGAAATCGATATCAGACTTCAAATCAGTGATACCAAAGTGTCTGAAATCTGTTGAAAAATCACATGCGACAGAGAAAGAAATTATTACTTCGTTCAATCAGACATTGATTTTCAGAAAGTATTCACTATGGTTTAATATAGCGAATATATTCAGTAATTTAATAAATGATGACATATATTCTAATAAATTTGATATATATTTACTATAAATGAAATTGCAAATGCTTAGTTAAATCAAATAAAAAATATCCATGGAACTTCCGTTACAATTTTGTAGAAAATTTTACAAATGTATTATATGAGTTATAAAACATTTTATGTATCTATATACGCAAGATCTTGATTAAATTTTCTAATGGTAAAAGCAGTCGGAAATATTAAGTTTAAAAAGGCGTGTTCTAAAAATTCTTCTCTACCTTTTGCACTACAAACCTCAAACTAACTGCAAGGAGAACGTTTACCCAGAAGACCAGGATTTCTGTTACTTTTAGGGATATTGGTATTGTGATTAAGAACTGTTTAAATTATGTCGTTTAAGATACATTTTTAATTACGCTGTATTTTAAAACGTAAGATATCAGATATCAAGGCTTAAAAAAATTTAATTTCATATGTCTGCTATATTCTACAAAATACTTGCTCGAAAAAGACTTCTACTGGCCCAAACATTGTTTTCGAATACATGTTAAAGTAAAAATGTTTGCATATATTGTTAATCTGTCAAAAACATAGTATTATGAACATTGCATCTATATTAATTACTTTTATTCTAAACATAAATCAGAAGAAAAAAGTATTTTCAAAAAAGACTAATGATGTATCAGATACAATAAAATATTAAGTATGAATAAGTATTAACGGTATAATTTTGCATTGATTATTGATTGATTTGCACGATTAAGTAAACGCAGAGTATTATTATTGACAAAGAATTATTATTATCACAAATATTTGCCATAACCGAAAAGTACAAACCTTTCAAAATATTTCTTTCTTTCAGTGAAAAAGTATGATTTGGGCTATTTTTTATCGACTGATTTTTACTCAGCAATAAGATTTTCATGAGAAAAATTCTTACATTTTTTACAAAATTTACAACTGTCAATACTCGGTGAAAACTACATTTGTACATATACATATTTAGTATAAAATAATTTTTGTCTTTTCGAAATTAATTTTAGTTATAATGGAATTCTAATAATGCGGACAAATATAGTGAGGTTTTAATCAGTACACCTTCTCTCAAAGGAAATTAATCAGAGCAAATGCACTAACTATTATCGCTAAGAAATTAAAAGGAATTCGTGATTTAGCTCAACGCTAACGAAATCGAGTTCTTACTACGAAATTGAGTACAAAAGCTCAGTGTACTTATATTTTAATGCCTAAGGACATTTTAAATTAGATGAGAATCTTTTATAATGTCGTTAATTGAATGAAAAGACTGGATTAAACTTACGTTTGGCGATCCTGCTATTATTGAACGGAACCGTTAAAAAAGTTTAAAAATAAATAAACAAATCACAGGGAAAATTACAATTACAATTACAAATTACTGGATTCTGGACAATTGCCCTACTGAATGGTAATGACATTTCTGGTTAAATTTTGGTTTATGAAATCAAAGTATGCGGTATTTAAACCTTTCATTTGGTAATTTCTCCTTTCATATGCTAGCGGTTTACCAGAAATTCTGCATTTCGAAATTATAGTTCTTATTACCACACAGTTAGTGAAAAATACAAAACAGAAATGTAAATTTAGACGAATAAATGTTTCTCATACCATACTCTATGGTATCATGATAAAATTGTCAAATTTTAAAACATTTACCCAATTTCACCATAATTATAAACACCATATTTCATTACTAATTTTACCAAAACCATTACCAAAACGCTTTGGTGTTCCCATGGAGCCAGAAACACGGTAATCTTAACATATTCTGGTAGTTTTGACCACACTTTATTTTCTTGTAGTAAATAGACAAGGAATAATAATATAAAAAATTTAAATATAAAAAAATGAAATATATGAATTGTAAGATAACAATCATTTAAAAAAATAGTTTTTTAACCGATGCAAATTATGCTAAATTTTTCAATGAAACAAGGAAAAACAAACTGGTTAAATAGTATATTTATCATTAGTCTTTAGAAGAATTTAATATATTAAATTAAGTTTAGTAATATTTATGTGTAAAAAAGTGTACTTTTTCTGATACTTTACAAATTGATGAATATTAAATGTAATAATTCTGTCTTAGGAACAGATACAGTTGAGAAAATAATAATTAAAAATGTCTTTCCATTTAAATAGGCTATTCAATAAATAAAAATCTTGGGTGGTACGTTTACATAGGGTAATACATTGAATTGTATTAAAAAATTGTGTTTATTCTACTATTTGGAAATTCTCGCATAATTTGAATCTTCCAAATTTGAATTTTATTCGCATAAGAGTACTTAGTTTAATTTAAATAAATATGCTTTGTTGCTGTTTCATCATGGCATAGTGTAAGATGTCTCTCTCCCTCCTCATTTTTACATCTTTCAATATTGCAAAATTCATGTCAAATAAGTTTCTTGGTGAGAAAACAACAACAAAAAAGAGGAAATGAACTATAATGTTTATTTAGAGCAGTGATAAAAAATCTCGTTCCAAAATCTTTTTGTTGATGGAAAAGAATTGTTTCGATCTTATTTTTTGAAATTGAAATATATTCATGCTTATTTCTTCAACCGTCAGTCGCCTCACCTGAGAATTCGAAAGGAAATGAAATCATAACAATCATGAAAGAATTTGGTGTTGAAAGGTACTTTCAACAAATATATTCACTTTTTTTTGTTGGCATATTTTTATACAAATGTGTATTCGTTTGCTTTGTAGACTAGAAAATACTTTGTGATTCGTTTCATTTTATTTTATCATTTTCTCTTAAAATAACACTGCAATATTTATTATGCATTTTGCTATTTGCTTGGAATTCAAAATTAAATATCTTGGAACAACAAGCGTCAACCTGTTCATTACAAATAAATTTCTTCCAAAATAATGAAAATCATCTTCTCGCAATTTCTTCAAAATTGCAATCATTGTGCATGCAAATTTCTGCTCAATATCTAGCAATATTTTGCGTTACAGAAATGTATGATGTTTGATATTTTGACGAAAAATAGCGACGTAAGTAATATTTTTGGAATAAATCGGAATAAATCACATTTCGTTATTTAGCAAGCTGAGTCAATTTATAATAGAAAGCAGCATATAATATTTTTAATTACAGAATGCATTTGTTTTTTCTTTATAAAATAACAAAATCGAGAGAAAACTGGTTTTGTATTATTGCTTTTAATCGCAAATGGCATTTTTAAAGTAATTGGTATACAGATAACCCTATGCATTATTATTACTTTTTAAATATTTCACGTAAATTTATTTGGAACATATTTTCTACTTTTATGCATACATGCTTAAACAACTAAAATTTGCACTATTAAAAATTCCGGAAAAAAAGTTCCGACACACGGAATGCCGGTACTTTTTACCGTGAAATTTCACGATACAATGTGATAATCCTTAATTTTATCAGTAATATTTACTGTAAAATCACTGAATCACTGTACTTAAATTAATATTACTGGTAAAATTAAGGTATAAAATGCTATACAAAGAAGTGGATTTTACGGTAAAATGGTCTTCACCCAGATTGTCAGTACTTTTTATCGCAATTAGATTTGAAATGGTTTACAATGTAGATCAGTTTAATATCAATAACTTTCTAGAATAGATAGAAATTTATCTCATTCAAGTATTTTAATTTAAGTGAAGCTTTTCAGAGGTAAAATCTTACCTTGAGTTTTTTTAATTATCAAAATTTATAACGTATGTAATAATCTTCTAGAATTATTACTATTATTATAAATTTTAAAATGTAAGTTTTACGGAAGACTTCAAAACTCAAAAATTTAAGTGCCTATTTTTTTCATTTTTGTTTCATTTCATATAGTAATATTTTCTTAGATGTTGTATTGAGCAATTTTGTAAATCTTGTGGGATATTTAAAATTGTCAATATGCAAAAATAAAAATTTAGAAACGTAAGTTTTATAAAAAAAATAAAAAATATCAAACTGCAGAGAATTTCCTTTTATATATTAAAAACTAAGTGAGAATGTGCTTTTTCCATGACTTCGACAAGATGAAAT